AGCCTCAGAGACCTGCTCCAGCCTGCCTGGGCTTCCTCCTCTTGCCTGGCAGTCTGAGCCCTTTTGTATTCCCTTTTGAAACCCCACCCCCTGGGCAGCCAGACCCCTTCTCAGCCCAGAGGCATCCCCCCTATCCCCCATAACCAGCAGTTCCCCCCGGCTACAGGCTCCTGGAACGCCTCCCCTTTGGATCCCTCAAGGAGGCTGGGGGTGTGACCTGTCCACCTGTCCAGGGGCCCCCGCTTTTGGGGGAGGCCCACCCGCCCTGGGAGTCAGGGGGTTCTCTCCCTGACACCCAGATTTTCTCGAATCTTGGCCCCCAGGACAGGCTGTCTGTCCACAGACGTGGGGCCGTGAGCCTGGGGTCCCTGCACCCACTCCTGGATTCTGGGGGGCCTGGGGTCTGCATGTGGACAGAGGTGTTGGGCACGGGTTCCCGCCAGGGTGTGACTCTGAGGAGCCGTGGGCTCTGGGGAGGAGGGTGTGGACAGTGGCCATCAGTGGTGAGGATTTGTGTCCTGGCCGCGGCGATCGTCAGCAAATGATTCCCCTGGGCGAGGAGCTTCTCTGAATCACGCTCGGCCTCGTGAGGTTTTGGGGAAGACCGAGGAGCTGGCTGCTCCTCGATGAATGAGCTGTTAGACGTGCAGACGGGAGGTCTTCCCCATCCTCCCAGGGGCCAGCTCGGGGCCCGGGGACTCGTGCACCAGCTCTCCCTGTGGATCTGAGGGCTGAGGTCCCAGGGAGGACTGCGGCGGGGCCAGGAAGGGAGAGACCCACCAGGGACAGCCCAGTGGTTACGACAATGAAACATTCATTCATGCTGAAACCGGTGTGGCTCAGTGGATAGAGCGTCGGCCTGCGGACTGAAAGGTCCCGGGTTCGATCCCGGTCAAGGGCATGGACCTTGGTTGCGGGCACATCCCCGGTGGGGGGTGTGCAGGAGGCAGCTGGTGATGATTCTCTCTCATCGATATTTCTAGCTCTCTATCCCTCTCCCTTCCTCTCTGTGAAAAATCAATAAAATATATTTAAAAAAGAAAAAAAGAAACATTCATTCAGCTTACACCGCGGCCAGGCCAGCTCCTGGGTGCTGCCACTTGGGCAAAGCTGGGGACGGCAGGCTCAGAGGGAAGGGCCACACGGGAGGGCACGTGATGGCCAGGGCTGGGCGGAAGGCCACCTGGCAGGGTGTGACCCGGGGCACAGGGGCTCGGGGCGGGGCCCTCCTGCTGTCCCGGGGGCCAGGTGCAGCCCGATCCGGGCAGCGTCACGGCGACGCCAGCCTGTGTGGTAGTTTGGACTGGGGATTTCCCTCCTGTCCGGTTACATCGGGGTGAACTTTAACCAGCTGGCACTAGCCAGGGCCCAGCTGATGGAGAGCCAGGCGGAGGCTGGGACCCTTGGGAAGGAGGGATTTCAGCAGAAAAAAAAAACACCCCAAAGGAGTGGCAGCCACCACCTCCCAGCCACACCGAGTTCTGAAGAGCTGGCTTAGCAAGGTGGACAGTTCGAATCCCCGCCGCCTGCCTCCGAACACAGGCACTCCTTCCCTGGCAAGCAAGGATCTCATGCCAGGGCACTCATGTTGCCTTCTTGCTGCCAGACACAGCAAGAGAGGGTGGCCTCTGGCCTCTGGGAGTCACTTATAGTCCGGAGAGGGTCAAAGGCATCGTGCCCAGTGCTCAGAACCCAGGCCAGGGGAGCTGTGCTCCCAGGGTGCCCAGGGAAAGATGGGGCTTTGGCAGTGGCAGTGCCCTGGGCTGGTGGCCATCTCTCGGCCTCCAGTTCTGCTGCTGGCTTGTGAGGGTCCAGAGATGGGGTCCCAGAAGGTCCCCCGCCCCTCCCACCACAGGGCACACATGCCATCTGAAGGGTCTTATCTGGCCTCCTTGGGCCCGGGGTGGACTGAACTGCAGCAGCTGCAGACTTGGGAGCCCCTGGGGGTCTCTCTGCTGTCTCAGGAGAGGCGGGGTTTCTTTGCTGGTGAAGCTGGGGCCAGAGGGACTGGGACTGAAGGGTCCCGGGTTCGATTCCGGTCAAGGGCACATACCTCGGTTTCAGGCTCCTCCCCAGCCCAGGCTTTGGTCGGCCGCATGCAGGAGGCAACCAATAGACGTGTTTCTCTCTCATCGATGTTCCTCTCTGTCTTTCTCTCTCTAAAATCAATGGAAAAATATCCTCAGGTGAGGATTAAAACAATAAATAAAAATTTTTTTAAAAAAGGGCCAAAGCCGGTATGGCTCAGTGGATAGAGCGTTGGCCTGTGGACTGAAAAGGTCCCAGGTTCGATCCCTGTCAAAGGCATATACCTTGGTTGCGGGCACATCCCCTGTAGGGGGTGTGCAGGAGGCAGCTGATGGATGTCTCTCTCTCTCATTGATGTTTCTAACTCCCTTTCCCTCTCCTATCCTCTCTGTAAAAAATCAATAATATATATATATATATATATATATATATATATATATGTTTTTTAAAATATATTTTATTGATTTTTTACAGTGAAGAAGGGAGAGAGAGAGCCAGAAACATCGATGAGAGAGAAACATCGACCAGCTGCCTCCTGCACACACCCCCTACTGGGGATGTGCCCGCAACCAAGATACATGCCCTTGACCGGAATCGAACCCGGGACCCTTCAGTCCGCAGACCAATGCTCTATCCATTGAGCCAAACCGGCCCCGGCAATAAAATATATTTTTAAAAAAAGAAAGAAAAGGACCTGGCTCTCTCTCTGACACTCAACACACCGAACACCCGGCTTCTGTTTCCTCCTCACTCCGACGGAGCAGAGGGCCCTCCAGCTCCCGCAGGCCAGGTCTCCGTGGGTCAGTTTGTGAGAAGCTACTTAACCTCAGCGAGGCTGCCTCCTTATCCGTGAGAAGAAAGACAAACTTGGGGAAAGCCGACGAGGGCGGTGGAAAAGGACGGGGATGCTGGCAGGCTCGGTGCTTAGCCCGGCGTGACCTCCAGCTGGTTACCTGGCCTCCGCGTTCCACTGGCTTCACCCGAAGGCGGAGATTCTGCCGTGAGGACTGTGGAAGGTCCTGCTCAGCCACGTCCCGAGCGGGGGCACAACACACCCACCGGTGTCCTCCCTCTGTTCCTACTTCACACTCAGCGAACGGACGGACGGACGAAGGAACGGACGGAGAGAAAGGGGTGTGAATGTGATGAAATCTCTATAAAAATGTTAACCCCTTCAGCTGAAACCGGTGTGGCTCAGTGGATAGAGCGTCGGCCAGCAGACTGAAAGGTCCCGGGTTCGATTCTGGTCAAGGGCATATGTACCTTGGTTGTGGGCACATCCCCAGTGGGGAGTGTGCAAGAGGCAGCCGATCGATGATTCTCTATCATCGATGTTTCTAGCTCTCTATCCCTCTCCCTTCCCCTCTGCAAAAAAATCAATAAAATATATATTTTTTAAAAATGTTAAACCCTTCAAAATCAGACACAGCTGCCTACATTCCTGTTCTGACATAAAAGGGACCAACACGACCCCCTCTGAGGTGACTGGAGAGGATCTGAAAGTCAGAGGGAGAACCAACGGGCCCCGAGGAGCACCATCCAAAGGGAAGAGCCCTGGCCGGCAGCTCATTGGTCACAGCGGCATCCCAACACGCTAGGGTCGTGGGTTTGATCCCCAGTCAGGGCACAGACAAGAATCAACCACCGAATGCATAAATGGGTGGCAGGACAGCCAACCGATGTTCCTCTCTCTCCCCATTCCGTGTGCTCTCTATAAAAAAAAAAAAAAAAAAAAAAAAATCAATCAATTTAAAACAATTAGAAAAAACTCAAGAGGGAAGAGACGTTATCTGGACACATGGCCCTGCTGGGGACCGTGTCTCAGGCTCTGCGAAGGCATCAGGAGGCCCAAGGAACCAGTCTGGGAACCAGTGGGCGCCATGATGGTGCGGTGAGCTCCCTAACCACTAGGCAGCACGACACCGGCCCTAGGACCTTGCAGGAGCAACGGGCACTGCTCCGAGGAGCGGCTTTAGCTCTAAATGAACCGTGGGGAGGGCTCGGAGCACAGGTCTACGTGTACGGGTTCCCAAAGCCAGCTCTGCGAAAACATGGGGTGCTCATACAGAGCTCAGGGGGGGCCCCTTGAACACTGGAAGATGCTGGCACTTCCTGTGTCCCGATCCTGACCCCGGCCCTCCTGCTCCAAAAGCCGGTTCGGATGGCCGTGGGCTTCCCGTTTGGAGAAAGAAACAGCGCCAGACCCGTCTGCTCCTCGTGAGGACGATGCATTTTTAAACCCAGAAAGAGTCGGAACTCCGAGAGGCTCGATTCGCTGCCGGCTTTACCTTCTACAGACACGACCCCCCTCCCCTTTAATGGGGGACGCCCCTGGCTGGGCTGGAGGGGTGCCGTGTGGGGGTGCTCCCCCAGCCAGCAGGGACGTGGCAGGCCCGCCCCGGGCTCAGGGTCTAGATTGCTTCCCGCACGGAACGCCTGCGAGGGCAGAGCCGGGGACGGTGACAGGGGCGGTGCCCTTGGCAGGAGGGTCACCAGGAAGCGTGGCCACACGAGAGGATGCTGGGCTGACCACCCGGCAGGGCCAGCAGGCCCCTGCCCGCCACTTGCCACGTCCCAGAGTTGAAGTGCATGCGACTGGGCCAGACACCTCGGGGTGCGAAGGAAGAAGACTCTAGTCAGACAATGTTCTGTGGGTGTGTGTGTGTGTGTGTGTGTGTGTGTGTGTCCTGGGGAGTGGGCGGGCCTCTCAGTACGACCCCAAACCCCGGGAACGGCTGCATGTGGAGGGAGAGGGGGCGAGTGACTGGGACACACCGATTCCCCCACTAGGGGAGCGGGGACCCCCCCCCCCCCACGTCTGCAGTGGCCACGTGCGTCAGGGACCAGGGCACTCGCCACAGCGGCACGGGGCTCCCTCCCGCTCCCTGGCAGCGCGGCGGGTCCGGGTCCGAGGCTTTCTTTCCCGGGCGGGCGCAGGGAGGCTCTGCCGTGGGGCTGGCGGATCTCCGGCCTCAGACGAGCTGGGACAGGTTGGGGACTTTGATGTTGAGGTCTCCGATGTTGATGCTCCGCGGCATCTCGGGCAGGTTGATGTTCTTCACGGCAGACACGGCCCGGGCGGGGGCTGCCGAGAGGCCGCCCTGGGGAGAAATGAGAGGTGGGAGTGAGACAGACCCTCGGGGCTGCGGGCTTACTGCTCAGGAAACCCAGTGACAGAGTCTCAAAAACGTCCAGCCCGGCCCGGCCGGTGTGGCTCAGTGGTTGGATGTTTACCCATGAACCAGGAGGTCACAGTTTGGATCCCGGTCCGGGCACATGCCCGGGTTGTGACTCGATCCCCAGGAGGGGTCTGCAGGAGGCAGCTGGTCAATGATTCACTCTCATCATTGATGTTTCTCTCACTCTCCCTCTCCCTTCCTCTCTGAATCAATAAAAAAAAATATATATATATATTTATATTTATATATATATATATTTTTTTAAAATATATATTTTATTGATTTTTTACAGAGAGGAAGAGAGAGGAGAGGGATAGAGAGTTAGAAACATGAAACACAGAGAAACATTGATCAGCTGCCTCCTACATACCCCCTACTGGGAATGTGCCTACAACCAAGGTACATGCCCTTGACCGGAATCAAACCCGGGACCTTTCAGTCCACAGGCTGATGCTCTATACACTGAGCCACACCTGTTTCAGCTATATATATACATATATATATATATAAATAAATAAATTGTCCAGCCTGAGCACACACAAGGCAAGCTTCGCCTCCCCCCTCACCCTATCCTCGAAGCCAGCCAACAAAATCTTGAGGCGACTGGGGCTATGGTAACGGGTTCCAGACCCTGAGCTCCTGAAGGGCATGGCTCAGGTAGCCTCACAGCCCAGCACCTCACACTGCCCGGCCCACGGCCGGTGCCCGCTCAGCGCTTACGGAAAAACCCGAGATGGTTTAACCGAGTCACGCTCAGCAGCGGGCACTTTTCAGGTTACAAAACAAAGCAAAACCCTTTCCTCAAGAGACCGAGGGCTCTTATAAACAAGCGCGGGTCACGGGGAAGTTGTTACAAGGAAAACCAATGTCACTGCTCAGGGCACCTGCCTGCCAACTCATAATGTGCGGAGGAGAGGAGCAGCTCCTCCCTCCTCCTCCTCCTCCCCCTCCCCCTCCCCCCCCCTCCTCCTCCTCCTCCTCCTCCTCGGCCTTCTAGATCCTTCTATAGAGGCCCACTTCTCCCTTGGTTCCCCCCTCGCCCTGCAAGTCTGCTTCTCGGCCCGCCCTCCTCTGAGTCACCTACTATTCCTGGAACCGTCCCAGCCTGCCTTTCTAGAACTACGGCTGCCACAATAGCTGCGGTCTGGAAAGGCTTCCGCAGGCGGGACTGCCGGTCCTCCCGGGAACAAGGATTCCTGGTTTCGCAAGGTCAAGTTCAGTTACACACAGCAAGGAAGCTGCTCAAGACACTGGGGAGACAAAGAGCGCCCATTTGCCCCGAGATCTCGCAGCGTGCGGAGGGGGACGGAGACGATGGAGAGTCCCAGTGGGGACTGGACAGATTTTTTTAAAAATATATATATTTTATTGATTTTTTTAACAGAGAGGAAGGGAGAGGGATAGAGAGCTAGAAACATCGATGAGAGAGAATCATCCATCAGCGGCCTCTTGCACACCCACTACTGGGGATGTGCCCGCAACCAAGGTCCATGCCCTTGACCGGAATCGAACCTGGGACCTTTCAGTTCGCAGGCCGATGCTCTATCCACTGAGCTAAACCGGTTTCGGCGGGACTGGACAGATTTACCGGGAGCATCTGCACCACGTGGGCGTAGGCCCGGGTGTGTTACTGTTAAACCCAGCTCACCCGCTCCTGGAGCTTTCTAGAAGGCTAACTGTAAATATGGACACTGGTGAGTCTGAGGACTGAAAGGCACCGTGAGAAATGGCTGCTGGGAGGTCAGACTGAGCTAGCACACAAACTGGGAGACCACACTGCCATCGGAGAAGGGCCCTGGGCTCCTGCAGGGAGCGTGTGGCTTTGAGAGGAAGAATGACAAGCCACACTGGTTTGGCTCAGTGGATAGAACGTTGGCCTGCAGACTGAAGGGTCCCGGGTTCAATTCCAGACAAGGGCACGTACCTTGGTTGCGGGCACATCCCCAGTAGAGGGTGTGCAAGAGGCAGCTGATCGATGATTCTCTCTCATCGATGTTTCTAACTCTCTGTCCCTTTCTCTTCCTCTCTGTGAAAAATCAATAAAATATATATTAAAATAAATAAATAAATAAAAAACTTAAAAAATCGTACACCTAAAAAAAAACAAAAACAAAAACAAGCCACAGATATGGGCCACAGCCCCCGGAAGCTGCTTGCCTTCCGGTGCCAGCTGGCTTGTCCGTGCACACTTTTTGCCTCCTTCTCACCTGGCCTTAGTGAGCTTTCATGGACTCAAGAAAGAAAGGAGCTGAAACTGGTTTGGCTCAATGGGTAGAGCATCAGTCTGCGGACTGAAAGGTCCCAGGTTCGATTCTGGTCAAGGGCATGGACTTTGGTTGCAGGCACATCCCCGATGGGGGGGTGTGCAGGAGGCAGCTGGTCTGTGATTCTCTCTCATCAATGTTTCTAACTCTCTATCCCTCTCCTTTACTCTCTGTAAAAAATCAATAAAATATATTTTTAAAAAAAGAAAGAAAGAAAGGAGTGTAAAACATTTCCAAGGTGACACAAACCGACCCAGCATGCTCTCCGCAACCCGCCCAGCGCCCTGGACCAGCCAGGGCCGGGCCAGCTGCGCGCTCACCTCCGATTTCTCCAGCCTGTTCTGAGCTTCGATCTGCGCCACGATTTCATTCATGTTCGTTTCCAGCACCATCCCTCCCATCACCACCTCCTGGAGGATGTAGTGCACCTGGAGGGGGCAGAAAGGAGAAGGGTCAGAGGGCTCTGTGCAGTCGGCGTGGGAGCGTCGGGGGAGGCAGCAGGGCTGGGGGGCCTGACACCGGCTCCCGAACAGACACCGAAGTTCTGGGGTCGTCACCTCTCAAGGAGCCACAGGGGCTTCCCTCGTGCTCTCACGTCACACTCAAGGCAGGAGGCGCTGTGGGAGCACGGGCTCTGAGGTCGGGCAGACCCTGGTTAAATTCCGCTCTATTCGTTTGTGAACTTGAGCACGCTATTCTTTCTTTTTTCTTTTTTAAAATATATTTTTTTGTTTTCACAGAGAGGAAGGGCGAGGGATAGAGAGTTTAGAAACATCGATGAGAATCATCAATCAGCTGCCTCTTGCACACCCCCTACTGGGGATGTGCCCGCAACCAAGGTCCATGCCCTTGACCGAAATTGAACCTGGGACCTTTCAGTCCGCAGGCTGACACTCTATCCACTGAGCCAAACCGGTTTTGGCTCTTTTTTCTTTTTTTTAAAAAAATATATTTTATTGATTTATACAGAGAGGAAGGGAGAGGGATAGAGAGTTAGAAACATCAATGAGAGAGAAACATCGATCAGCTGCAACATCAATAGAGCCCGCAACCAAGGCACATGCCCTTGACTAGAATCGAACCCGGGACCTTTCAGTCCGCAGGCCGATGCTCCATCCACTGAGCCAAACCGGTTAGGGCTATAACTTATTTTAATTTCCCAACACCCACCCGAGGCAGGCAATGCAGTCTCATTTTACAGATGAGAAAAGGGACACTGGAACAGCCAGGGCACCTCCCAGTGTCACGTGCATTCACAGCAGAACTGAGCCGGTGCTCCTGGCGCAGAGCTCAAGTTTCTGCCCTTCCCTCCACGCTTCCTTGAAATCCCAAATGCCTTCCACTCTGCTCATCCCTCACTCCTCGTCCACACGGCCCCGCTTAAGGCTTGCCTTCGGTGTGCCAGGGATCTTGCAGAACTTCTTCTTCTTTTAAAATATATTTTATTGATTTTTTACAGAGAGGAAGAGAGAGGGATAGAGAGCTAGAAACATCATTGAGGGAAAAACATCAACCAGTTGCCTCTTGCATAACCCCACTAGGGATGTGCCCGCAACCAAGGTCCATGCCCTTGACCGGAATCGAACCTGGGACCTTTCAGTCCGCAGGCCAAAGCTCTATCCACTGAGCCAAACCGGTTTCGGCATGAACTCGTAACTTTTAAATGCTATTCAAAATGTACTAGTGCAAAGTGCAAAAAAGGAGAAATAAGTAAAAACGCAGACTCCGTTTTCAACAGCACCAGAAAGAAGTCCAGGCCCCCCCCAAAGCTGTCACGAGCAGGGAGCTCAATGCAAGGGCTCCTCTCCTTCAGAGCAGGGGAGGAGGAAAGGATGCGAGCACAGGCTGCGAAGCTCAGAAAACAGCACAAATCCACTTCCTGGAGGGAAAGGGCACGCCCTCAGGGAGCAAACGAGCTTCCTTGGGGCTGGAGCTGAGGCTATATGAGGAACCCCACGTACAAGCTCTGTTTGCCTCCCAGAGCTGGTCTCCACGGCTGCACAGACCACAGGCCGTGCAGGCAAGCTTACGGTGCCTGCCTCTGTTGGCTGGAGCGAATACAGGTAAGTGAACTCACCCAGAATCCTGCACCAAGAACTGCCATGAGCCGGGAACACAGACTTGACACCTCCTGAACCAAGCATTCTGCAAACAGCTGGCCCCTGAAAACTCATCTACTTAAAAATGAGTTATAATGAAGGATTTAGCCCTAACCGGTGTCGCTCAGTGGATAGAGCATCAGCCAGTGGACTAAGGGGCCCGGGTTTGATTCCGATCAAGGGCATGTACCTTGGTTGCGGGCATGTACCTTGGTTGCGGGCACATCCCCAGTGGGGTGTGTGCAGGAGGCGGCTGATCGATGTTTCTCTCTCATCAATGTTTCTAACTCTCTGTCTCTCTCCCTTTTCTGTAAAAAAAAAACAAAAAAAAAAACAATAAAATATATTGATTTATAGAAAGGATTTATAGAAAGACGTCACAAGAAACAATTAGGAAAGAAACAGGAAAGCAAAAAGGTGGGCTAATACTACACGTGGGAAAATGCTGCCGAGGGGCAGATTAAATTGTCCTAAAATACATTGTAAAATTAAAAAAAGAAAACTATGAAGCAAGAGCTCAAAGCAGAGATGTAAGCGTGAGCTGATGGGATAAGTAGGGAGGTAAGAAGATGTCTACCAGCCCAGCTCAGAAAAACGTGCAGAAATGAAGGTGGAGCTGCGAGGAAAGACAGAGAGGAGAGTGTTGCTCAGTGGTTAGAGCGTCGGCCTGAGGACTGAAAGGTCCCAGGTTCGATTCCGGTCAAGGGGATGTACCTTGGTTGCTGGCACATCCCCAGTAGGAGGTGCGCAGGAGGCAGCTGATTTAACTCTCAATCCTCCTCTCTTCCTCTTTGTAAAAAAAAAAAAAAATCAATAAAATATATTTTTTTAAAAAGACAGAGAGGAGAGTCGCTGCTAACACAGTTAAGGAGCGAAAAAGGAGAGCAAGGAAGAACAGCAAGCGAATGGAAACACACAAACAAAAAGTAGTTAAAAGGAACTGAGAGGAAACGAGTTACCGCAGACAGCTAAGGAGACGCATACATGCCCCAAACTAAAACGGAATGGGACAAATATATAGCAACTTGCTCACAAGGATTCCAAAAATATACAGTGACTTGTTCATAAAGATTCCATAAATCCATAGTGGATTGTTCATAAAGATTCCATAAACATACAGAGGCAGTTCATAAAGATTCCATAAAGATAGACCTGAAGGCGTGGTGGTGGAGACAGGAGGAGCCACATGGCGGAAGGACACATGGGTCCCAGGGAAACGGACCCTCCCCAGGCAGCGCCAGACAGACCTCATGGGCAGGACGACCGGATTTCCGCAACTGGGCAAGAGATCACATCCCTTAGAGGGGCAGTATCTGCCCTGGCTGGGTGGCTCATCGGTTGGCGCATTATCCCACACACCAAAAGGCTGTGGGTTCGAATACTGGTCAGGGCGCATATAAGAGGCAACTGATAGATATTTCCCTCTCACATCGATGTTTCTCTCTCTCTCTCTTGCTCTCTCTATCAATAAACATATCCTCGGTGAGGATAAAAAAAAGAGGGGGGGGGAGGGCAAATCTTGAAAATTTCCACAGTAAAATTCTAGCAGAAGGAGGAACAATACCTACAAAGATGCCCAAAGAGAAAAAGCATGACCAGAGTATTTTATTCTGCGCTGATCATCAACCAAGAGGAATACAGCGGGATCCACTGTTCCCACGGTCTTCCTGAGGGATCGCCAGGACTCACTCTGGCAGCCGAGGGGTGAGCGGAAAATGGACGGCAGAGGGACGGGTGGTGAGCACCCGAGTCCGAGTACTGGGAGGACCAAGACTGAAGGCGAGGGTGATGACAGAATGTCAGGGCTGGGCCCTGGGAAGGCACCGACATTAGGGAGACATGGGGGAACAGGAGGGCGGTGGATGGAATAACGGTAACGATTCCCCATCCTCACTGGCTGAGAGCTGGCGGACAAGCACGTAAAACCGACAACTCACATTATAAAGAAATGGGTATCATCTCTTTTATGATTCCCCCTCCCCCATGTCCAAGCCCGCAATCATTTGCTATGAACAGTATTTTCAGAGCCACCAAACTTTTCATGTAGGGCCAACAAGACATTTTCGGCTGATGAGTTCTATGCCATTTTTCTTTTTCAATGTATTTTATTGATTTTTTTACAGAGAGGAAGAGAGAAGATAGTTAGAAACATCAATGAGAGAGAAACATCGATCAGCGGTCTCCTGCACACCCCCTACTGGGGATGTGCCCACAACCAAGGTACATGCCCTTGACCGGAATCGAACCTGGATCCTTGAGTCCACAGGCCAATGCTCTATCCACTGAGCCAAATCGGTTAGGGCTATGCCATTTTTCTTGCAGAACATTCAACCGTAATGCATCCCCTACAATTTCCAGTTTCCCTGCAAAGGGAGAATTTAGAGTCCGGTGAAGCAGTCAGTACAGAATCCTTGGAGTTTTTTTGCCCACCCCACTACCCTCATCTTCATAGTTTCTTGTTTAAACCTAATTCAACGTCATTTTTTAATTTAAAAAAAAATATTTTTATTGATTTCGGAGAGGAAGGGAGAGGGGACAGAGAGATAGAAACATCAATGATGGAAGAGAAATCATTGATTGGCTGCCTTCTGCACACCCCCTACTGCAGATCAGCTGGCAACCCCGGGCATGTGCTCTTGGCCAGAATCGAACCCGGGACTCTTCAGTCCGCAGGCTGACGCTCTATCCATTGAGCCAAACCGCCTCGGGCTAATTCAACGTCATTTCCTTTTCCAGGGAACTGGCCTTTCCAGAGCACTCACCTCTGTTTTCATAGGACAGATTCTTGTTTCTCACGCTTGGCTTACCTATCTAATATTAAGTAAATTACATGATTACTATACCAGCATTAAGTGGCATCAACAGGTCTGAACACGTCACACTGACCTTGGGTGGACACAGCCTCTCGTTGGGTAAATAAGGCCGGTCAAGCCACGAGGGAGCAGCTGCCCAGCAGCCTGTGTCCACCTGACAAGGCTCAGGAGACCTCTTCCATTGAACGTGGGCATAGTTCTTTTCTTTTTAAAAAAAAATATATTTTATTGATTTTTTGCAGAGAGGGAGAGAGATGGCGAGCTAGAAACATTGATGAGAGAGAAACATCCATCAGCTGCCTACTGCACACCCCGCACTGGGGATGTGCCTTCAACCAGCAACCAAGGTACATGCCCTTGACCGGAATTGAATCTGGGACCTTTCAGTCTGCAGACTGACGCTCTATCCACTGAGCCAAACCGGTTTCAGCAGGAGTGGCTATCAAGGGAAAGTTGCCAAGCACAGGTGTGGGGAGAAGGCAGTCGGGAATCGAAACTAAACTGTGTCCCTAACAA